TATATATATATATATATATATATATACATACACACACACACACACTCACATATATAAACCAGTATGTGTGTAGAAATTTATTTTGGAGCCTCTCTAGGTGCGTGTATTACTGCATTCCAAAAATAATGAGCCTCTCAAGGTATCAAGTTATTATTACACACAAATATATACACATGCATACATCATATATTCATTCATTCAATATATACATATAATAAGACATTAGCACATTCTAAACTAATTGTTAATGATATAAAGATTAACTTCCCCATCAATGAGACGATATGCTTGGCAAAGGCAATGAATGAAGGAAGGAATGAATGAATGAAGGAATGAATGAATGAGTCAGTTGAGACACGCAGGTGTCCTCCACCGTGCAGTGGCGTCACGGGGAGAGCGGGTGCGGGGCAGTCATCTGAAGGGATCTGAATAGGAATGTGCTGCAGAGTCATCAAGACGTCTTACCTCCACCATTTTTGTAGCACAGGTACGGGAAGCGCCAGACATTCCCCAGACCCACGGCGAACCCCACACAGGACATGATGAAGTCCATCTGCCTGGTCCACGTCTCTCGCTCGGGGAAGCCCTGCTGCTTCTTCTCCGCCGCCGATATGGCTCCAGTGACCGCTGATATGGGCCCGCCGTTGAGGGTCCCATTGACGCCTTGATGCGCGTTTCCATTGGGAATGAGATGGCCCTTCTTCTCCTCCACCAGGACCATGTTCAGGGCGCAGCATTCTGCGTCCAGAGAGGATTTCTCCATCTCTCGTGTAAACAAAGCAACCGAACCTCCAGTCAAAAATAAATATGTGATCTCTTATTGTTTTTGGATTAAGTCAATTTTCTTTATTCACACCAAGGTGTCCCTTTTGTTCCTCTTCAGGTGCACGGGATCTGGTCCTTTATCCTTTTATTTAATCAAATCTGCAGTGCTAATTCTTTACGGATGTATTTTCCGTTTCTCCTCAATGTCAAACGGTCACAAGGGATGGCAGTTTGATTCTCTCGGCGAAATTGGCAACGGCTATTATTGGTTTGTTTAATCAAAAACGCGTTTTTAAAATAAAGAATAGATCATAAAAGGAAAAAAAGACACTGATTTGAAACAGCACCTTCAAAAACAATCCACGAAACACTTAAAGGTGAGTCTGAAGAATCGCATGGGCACGTGAATCTCTCAGAGAGAAGGCGACTGAGGAGACGGCGAAACCAAAGCGGCCCTTTGCGCGCTGAACAGATGAATGTAATGGAATTACATTCACGAAATGATCGCCTAAATCTCTTCAGACCATCGTTCTCGTCGGTATTTAACACCCAGAATGTATAAATGAGACGCGAGTCGGTGTCTACGGGAGCTGCGGCTGCTGCTGCGGTCGCTCTGTGCGCGCGGACGGACTGTCTGATGCGTCCGCGTGAAGCCGCTTGGTGTTTTATCGGGCTCGCTAACGTCATTTGGAGCTCAACCCTCCCCCTCTGTCCCGCTTAAGGAAAACGGAATGGAACGCTCACGTACGCTGCACACTACACACTGCATACTACGCACTACACCGCAAGTGCGATTCTAGCTCACTGGAGCTCCGCGCGAGAGCAGATCTGAAAGATTTTATCAGAGTTCGAATGCATTATGCAATTCATTGCAGTTAAGTTGCGTTATGAAAACAATAATAATAATAAAAAATCAGCATAAATTAATGGCAGTTAAACTGATTGTGATATAGGCTATTTGTGTTTCTAACATATAAAATGTACTTGTATTTATAGTATGTATTTATTTGACATAAGTATATAAATACATGTATATAATTATATAAATGCAAACACACACACACATATATATATATATACACACATATTAGTAAACAAATAACTAATTTTCTAACATAAAATGTACTTGTATTTATAGTATCTATTTATTTTACATATAAGTATATAAATACATGTATATAATTATATAAATGCAAACATATATATATATTAGTAAATAACTAATTTTCTGACATATAAAATGTACTTGTATTTATAGTATCTATTTTACATACAAGTATATAAATACATGTATATAATTATATAAATGCAAACATATATATATATTAGTAAATAACTTCTCAAGGTATCAAGTTATTATTACACACAAATATATACACATGCATACATCATATACGTATAATATATGAATGAATGAATATTCATTCATTCAATATATACATATAATAAGACATTAGCACATTCTAAACTAATTGTTAATGATATAAAGATTAACTTCCCCATCAATGAGACGATATGCTTGGCAAAGGTAATGAATGAAGGAAGGAATGAATGAATGAAGGAATGAATGAATGAGTCAGTCTAACATAAAATGTACTTGTATTTATAGTATCTATTTATTTTACATATAAGTATATAAATACATGTATATAATTATATAAATGCAAACATATATATATATTAGTAAATAACTAATTTTCTGACATATAAAATGTACTTGTATTTATAGTATCTATTTTACATACAAGTATATAAATACATGTATATAATTATATAAATGCAAACATATATATATATATATTAGTAAATAAATAACACATTTTCTGACATATAAAATGTACTTGTATTTATAGTATCTATTTTACATACAATTATATAAATACATGTATATAATTATATAAATGCAAACATATATATATATAAGTAAATAACTAATTTTCTAACATAAAATGTACTTGTATTTATAGTATCTATTTATTTTACATACAAGTATATAAATACATGTATATAATTATATAAATGCAAACATATATATATATATATATTTTACATTAGTAAATAAATAATTAGTTTACAGTTTTTTTCTTTCTTTCTTATGATCCGGACAGTGAATTAAGTTAATTAGATAGCAGATAAATTAATAATCAAAAAACATAAACTTGTTTTCAAAAACTTAAGTGATTTTGGGGAATGGGGCTAAAGACCCATTGACGTCAAAGAGGGCAATTAATTATTAAATTCAAACTTTCTTTTACCAATACTTTTCTCAAAAATGTTTATCCATAATCACTTAATGTAATTCAATAAAAAAAAAAAAACTAATATAAATATAATTTTATTTCTTAAATAAAAAAATATATTTTTTAATTTAATAGAATTTTTTGATTGTCATTTAGAGACTAGAAAGACGTACAACACATGCGTGAATGCAGTCAGTAGGTGTAGTATGGTATCTAGCAAACATACCCACAGTCTATGTAGTGCCCTGATGACTATTAGTCATCAACCACATGAGTCACGTTTTTTGCATTACAAAATACATTAACCTCCTACTGACCACAGAAGATGCCATTGTCCCATTCTGGAAAATTACAAACTTACATGAAGCACTGCTGAAGATTTTCCATTGATTTGACATGCTCTGCCAAGTGGTGAACTAGAAATAAAAATAAACAGATTTATATACAGAATTAGAATCATTTTATTCACAAATACACAGACTCATAGAAATCAATCAATGAGTTTGAGCTCTTTTACCATGGTAAGTATAGTTTACATTAATTTACCAGTTACTAGTTATTGTTACTACAGGAAAACAATGGTAACTTGTTATTTGCAATTAGTAATTAGATTTTTAAAACACCATGTTAAATTATTAATTTATGATGGATTAACAGTAGTAACAATATCTGTAGCAAATGCTATTTTGCTAGAAACTGGCTACAATGGAAATTTTTGTAAAGGCTAATTCTACCAAAGTCAGCAGCAGGTATTGAGTGCAGTGGTAGTTTTAGTAGAGTTGTTTGTCCTGAGGCTGTAAAAGGTGGGAAAGGTTTGTCCTTGTGGGACCACAAAATTATACTGAGGTCAGATTTGCCCAATAATAACCCTACAATTTTTACAGGAACTTTTTTGGAAAGATTTTAAGATTCTTGAAAACCACACATGTATAGATGTAAAAGTACTCATAGCTTCAGTGAGTCATACTATAAACATCTCTGGATCATATTGACTGTTGCAAATTACAGCGGGGCGTTCTGTGAACTGTATGTGGCTGTTCGAGGAACCCTGCTATGATTCAAGGAAACCCCACATCTTATCTCCATGACGAGTGAATTGCGGTCATAGGGACAACAATTCACGATCCTATTTTTTTTTTCTTCATACCTGAGCCAACAGTTTGGCTCCAGGGCAAATGGGTGATAGGGAAACATGCAACTTTCTGTTCACAATGCAAAGCAAACATGTTTATACATGTTTATATTCCATCTGTGTCTTTGTTACAGATTTAACCATGCATGAAACAATCTTTAAGTCTGGGAATTAAAGAAATGGGCAAGTGAAATAAAGAAGCTCTGGTCATAAGTATAATTTACAGTTTTCATGTTGACTCACGGGTCAGGAGAAACACAAGCCCCGTATACGTTAAAATTAGGCAGCTTTGATCTCAGTAACCTTTAAAATAGCTTTTTCCTGTCACGTTATTATATACGTCACAAATATGTTTTACCATACTAGGCCGTTCATTTATTTGACCACTATATTTAAGTACGTTAACAAATTATTGGCTGTACAGTATATTCCTTAATCAGCTTCTGCTTTGATTAAGTGCTTTAATGTACTGTCTGTTCATTTAACAATTTCAGAATCATTTTCCTTCTCAATAAAACGGCAAAAAAGTCCCTTTAGGGGTGCAACAGATTGCCACTGGGACAGTACTGTTAAAGGGACAGTTTTATACTTAATTTATACCTAAATAGTACACAGCAGTACTACTCTAAGGTACTAATTGCACCTTATAGGGGTAAAAAAAAAATATATATATATATATATAGATATATAAAATACAAAATTGTCACATTAAGGGAACTGCCCCATTAACAAGCTATTGTACCCTAAACGTACAATTTTTGCACAGTTTTTCCATTTTAATATACTTTAAAAATGTATTTCTGTGATACAAAGCTGAATTTTCATCAAATCATTCTAATATGCTGATTTATTATCAATGTTGGAAACAGTTGTGCTGCTTAATATTTTTTGGAACCTGTGATAATTTTTTTCAGGATTCTTTGATGAATAAAAAATAGAACTCCAGAAGAAAGTTCCAAATAGAACTCTTGTCTAACAATGTAAGTCTTTGTTTATCAATTTAACACATCCTTGCTGAATAAAAGTATTATTTTCCATCAAAAAAAAAAGAAAGAAAAAAATTACTGACCCCAAAACCTTTGAACAGTAGTGTATATTGTAACAACATTTTTTTTAATTTTTATATTAAAGTTAAAAAGTTCCACGCTTGCTCATGCAGTGCATTGAAATTGGTGTAGAAACAATTTGTACTCAGAAATTGCTAGTAAATTTCACAATTACAAAGAAACAAGTAAAACATCGCATTAAACATGAAAGTTTGAAGTAGAAAAACTAAAAGGGTATTTTCTTGTAAAATAGATCCCAATAATCTGTTTTATTCGCAACTTCGAAAAAATATTTTTTTTACATTGTAGATGCAAATGATATGTCATTGTTAGTGGTTCACTTCCACAATTTAGGAGCGACTGCATTTATACCAATAATATACAAATAAATGTTTTGTTCACCAGGCCGCCTTTTCAAGCAGATTCAACGTTTGATGCCGCAACAGAGATCAGACAGAACTGGGCTTAACATTCATGCAAAAGCACTCAGTTCTAATTGAGAAAATGTCCTGTGTTGCAAAACATATGGCCTGCACATTGGAACAATCTTCAGAAAAAAAAAAAAAAGATTGCGTAGAAGTCTTTCTTAAAGCCAAATGGTGTAAGCTAACCTGGTTCAGGGCCTCCAGGCACAGGCGAACACTACTACGATTGCACTTTCACGTTTCTATCGATCTAAGTTTAGTTTAGAATAAACCCCGTGACTTCAAGAGCAGCTGCCTTGCAAAGGTTATGGCCCTTTTTTATAGCGCCTTAGAAATAGCAGCTGCGTGGAGTCACACCCGAGCATAACTATCACCCCCAGCTCAGACTTTGACACACTTGCTGATTAAACAGTGTAGGGTATGATGATACTGCTGGAATAATGATCAAACAATTCAACTGTGACAGATGTTTTACCTTATACTCTACCATTCAAAAGTCTGGGGTCAGTAAGGTTTCTTTTTTTTTTTTTTTAAAGAAATTAATACTTTTATTTAGCAAGGCCACACACAATATGATTAAAAGTGACATGCATTAATATATTCTTACAAAAGATTCCTGTTTTTTAAAAATGCTGTTCTTTTGAACTTCTAAACTTTCTATTCATCTAAATCCTGAAAATTAACATATTAGAATGATTTCTGAAGGATCGTGTGACACCGAAGCCTGGAGTAATGATGCTGAAAATGCAGCTTTGCATCACAGAAATAAATTATATTTGAAAATATATTCAAATACAAAACAGTTCATTTAAATTGTAATAATATTTCACAATATTACAGTTTTTACTGTATTTTTATTTAAAAAAATGCATCCTTGGTGAGCATAAGACACTTCTTTCAAAATCATTAAAACTCTTACAGACCTCGGACTCTTGAATTGTAGTGTATGTGGAGTGATGACCATATTGGAGGACTTCTCCTTGTGAGTATAACTCTCAGGACATGACTGGGAAATCACATGCCAGACCTGCCAGACAAACAAAAATAGTGCCAGTGTAGAAATCTTTGCTGACAATTCACATATTCAGGCATCAAGAAGACAATGCAGGTCAAAGTAAGTTAATAAGGTTATCAAAACGCATGTAATATAGACTCAATTGCATAAAGGGCTCTTATCATTTTGCAGCTGCGGTTCAGGGCACACTTTATTGGCTGCAGCTCAGTGTTACTTTATAAAAAGTAAACAGGTGGGAGTACAACTTGCTCCTATTTAGGTCACAAGGTTAGTATGCCACAGATAAGAAATGGCACAAAAATCAATACGACCATTCACAGCCATACTGTCACGCCTTGAACAGCACACTGAGGGTCATTTATCCTACAGCGCAAGATGCTGTTTACTAGCAGACTTTCACAGGAACAACTTTCCACTTCTCTTATAAGTTTCGATCTGACCTTTCCAGACATTTCTGTAATCACATTTCCTGTAAATAGTATCTCCTGCCTTGAACTGGACTCATAATATTAGTTTCACTTGCGGCACGAAGCGTTTTCTGTATCAATGATCAGCGACAAACAGCACTCCATACTAACTGGATTCTCTAAAATTTTATCTGAGGTGTATTGATTTCCTGTTCAACTAGAAAAGCAAAAAATTTCAAACAGGTTTCCTGAACACTTCCCCCTGTCTGCCATTGGTCCGTCAAACAGATTTTAAAAATAGCCAAGCTGCTGTCTAACATATCTGTTGACATGCTGCATTGTAGCAATATTAGAGCTCTGTTTGGTCATATAGGATTATTAAATTGTGATTGATAATTGTCTAGATAGATCTGTATATGTGTGTGTTTGCACATAATGATGAATGGATAATGCAGAAAGGATTCGGATAACATGAGATCCTGTAAGAGAGGAGTTATTCTTTATTGCCAATGCCATTATTTTTTTCCAGTTCTAAAAAAGCAGAAGAGTTCAAAGAATATCAAATCTCATGAGAAATCATTTATTAGGCTAATACTAATAAAACTCACTTAAAACGCTGAAAAAAAAGTACATTAAAAGATGGACCAAAGCCAAATCTGGAGACAAAAATATAATAGAGACCTGAAGGTGAGCTCTTTCAAACCAGAACATCCTATTTTCACAAAATATTAAACAGTACAACTGTTTTCTCTTCAGTTTCACATTAATAACATAAATGTTTCTTGAGCAGAAAATCAGCATATTAGAATGATTTCTGAAGGATCATGTGACACTGGAGTAATGATGCTGAAAATTCAGCTTTGCATCACAGAAATAAATTCGATTAAAAAAATGTACAAATAGAAAAGTTATTTTACATTGTAATAACATTTCACAATATTACAGTTTTTATTGTATTTTTAATCAAATAAATGCAGCCTTGGTGAGCAGAAGAGATATGCTCTTATTGATAAAGTCAGTGTGAAACTGAAAAAAAAAATTATGCAATTATTAAAAAAAAAAAAAAAAATGTAATTCTAGTTATTTTGTTATTTAGGTAAATCCGCAGATGTTTTTTTGTCACTAAATCTGAGAAAATTAAATAGGTTCTTGAGAACACATTTTATTACACTCATACACAGCTGTCAGTTATAGCATCAGTGTGTAAATTCTCAAAAACATTTGTACAATGACTGGTGGGAATCACGAACAACTATATTCAGTATCTCGCAAGACTAAAAAAAGCATTTCATATGTCAGAGTTGCTGCTTCCTGTGGACTCTGGACATAACGTTCAGTTCTAAGGTTAAGTCGCTTCAACACGGTGAGATCTACAAGAATGATGACACAACAAGCATCACCAGCTAAAGATTTAAGCGTGTGTGACATTAAAGCGGGACATATAATAGGAAACAGGGTTTTCTAGTCACCCTGGAGAACAACACTGTGTACTATGACGCTACGCAGCAGTACGCCAATCAAAACAGATCAATTTCATGTAGAAATCTTAAAGGACCAGCAGCAAAACAGCCCGTTTAATTTTAATGATCAGGAGGAGAGTAGAAACAATTATTATGATTTGGTGCAAGAAACCTGGACTAACATTATTAGAGGATTTCAGACAAATGTTTTATGGTAGCAGTAGCACTGGAATGGATGGTGGCAGTAATAATTTATTTCTGTGTGATTAAAAATATAGAAAAATGAACTGATCATGAACCCTGGCATTTTGTCTATAGAATTAATAAACAATTTGTTTATTTTAAATATATATACTTTGGAGTTGTAAAGGATGTGTATGGTTCGATATGAGTGATATTCATGTGACAGATGTGGTTTTGAGTCTAGGCCGTCATGTTCCTACCCTGTTTATGTTTTACTCCCCTCATCTTCACGCTCTAAAAATAAATAAATAAAACTAAAATACTAATAAATGTTTACAAAACACTTTACCGAAAACATATATATATATATATATATATACATATATATATGTATATGCAATATGTAAAAATATTTTTTTTATAATTTATATCACACATGTAATTTATAGATTAAATACATATATAAATAGTATGTATTAGCATATAAATCAGTATAAAATATTAAACAATGTTTATAAAATGCTTGTTCTATATCTATCTACAGTATATATGTATATTACTATAAAAATGTTATGCATGTATTTTTTTAATCAAATGTTTGTAATAAATGCACAACACAATTATTGCACAAAATAACGTTTACATAATAATGTTTACAAAACTTACAAAACACTTCACACAGAAAACGTATATGCAAATGCATTATATATATATATATATATATATATATATGAATACAGTATATACCAGGGTTCCTCAAATCTTACCCTGGAGGTCCAATGCGCATTTGTCGACTAGAAGTAGAAAATATTATTAAGAAGACTCAGGAGACTCCTATTATTCACAATGTGCCCACAGCACTCAAATTTATCATTAACCATTAATTGAGAACAAAACTCATTACAGCTGAATTATAAATAATGTAAATGTATAATGTCTCAGGGGCTCGTTCTCTGAGGTTCGAATGGCTCAACACAGATGCACTCAGAAAGTAGTGGCTGTCAAGTGCATCCGCAAGAGAGCGCTAAAGGGAAAAGAATCCATGCTGGAGAATGAGATTGCAGTATTATGCAGGTCAGTGATTTAATTAAAAAAAAAACTCTGGATTGACTGACTGATTACATTTCTTGACTTTATGTTTACATTTCTTGTTTATTAGAGTACAGTTAAAGAAATCTTTTCTGATTTGATGATGCAACGTTCATCTTTGTTTTTATTTGTCCCTTTATTTGTCCCTTCACAGAATAAATCATGAAAATATTGTGTCTTTGGAGGAAACCTTTGAGACTCCTACTAAACTGTATTTGGTAATGACACTGTGAGTGGACCTGAGTGAGAAAAATGAAAATATTATACTTAAAGGGGTCATCGGATGCCCATTTTCCACAAGTTGATATGATGAAAAGTCAATTACATACTTTGGTTAAAATTTCTCAATGGTAGTGTAAAAAACTCCCTTTTTACCCTGCCAAAATTAGCTGTTTTCAGCACGCCATTCTAGTCCATGTTGCTTTAAATGCTAATGAGCTCTGCTGACCCCCCCCCCCCCTTTTTCCCCTTATAAAAAACCTGTATACTCACTTCTTCTGTAGATGAAGCTGGATCATGAATGATTTGCACGAACATAGATGCATTTAGGTCGATCAGGATCGGCGCATTCCCTTCAAAAAAACGAAAGTAACGTTAATCCTCTGCATCTTCAGCGGCTCAGATGTAGGGAGTAAACGAGGACTGCTATGTTCATTATTACATCCAGCAACAAAACACCTCAGTCACTTAATCTGAGACATTCTTGTCTTACCCTGCACCGGAGTCGACACAATGGCGGACAGCTCTCAGCTCACTCAGGGCTGGTCTGAGGCAAAGTAAGACGGCCTTGTCAATCAACTATCGTGAGAGGGGCCTGTGCAGAACTACGTAATTCTGACAGGAATCTCAGAACAGCCTGATTTGAGAAGGGGATTTTAAAATAGGGATTTTAAAAAAAACACGGTGGATTTTTATCATTATAGGGTGGATGTGTACACACACTTCCAACACACATTTATGTTCAAACAACAACAGAAGTGAATTTTGCATCCGATGACCCCTTTAAAAATTAATTTAGCTCAAAGTTTCGTGTTTCATAGGATTAGACAGAATGATAGTGAAATAACGATTAAATATAGACAGAAAAATAGATGACAGACAGACAGACGATGATAGATAGATAGATAGATCAAATAAGAGTTAGAAAGAACAGATAGAATGATAGACAGACAGAAAACGAGAGAACAACAGACAGACAGATAGAATGAAAGTTAGAAAGAACAACAGATAGAATAGACAAAAAACATAAAAAGAACGAGAGAACAACAGACAGACAGAAAAGACAGACAGGCAGAATAAGAGACAGACAGACAGACAGAATAAGAGACAGACAGACAGATAGATAGACAGACAGAATAAGAGACAGACAGACAGACAGAATAAGAGACAGACAGAATAAGAGACAGACAGATAGACAGACAGAATAAGAGACAGACAGACAGAATAAGAGACAGACAGACAAAATAAGAGACAAACAGACAGAATAAGAGAGACAGAATAAGAGACAGACAGACAGAATAAGAGACAGACAGACAGAATAAGAGACAGACAGACAGACAGACAGAATAAGAG